TTCTAGTGTGGGGGGCTCTGCCCTCCCCCAGGGCCTGCCTAGCCACTCCAAAGACTGTTGTTGTTGTTGTTATGTGCTGTCGAATCGGCCCCAACTCATAGCCACCCCTCCTTGGGTTTCCAAGGCGGTATCACTACAGAAGTCAATTGCCCAACCTTCCTTCCAAGGAGTGGCTGGTGCGTTTGAACCTCCAGCCTTCTGGTTAGCAGTCAAATGCCTTAGGCACGATGCTACCAGAGCTCTGACTGCAAAGACTAAAAAGGATCAGTATCTCCAGACCCTGACTGTAACCCATGCCATCAGACAGCTGTCTTGACCTGGCAGCTCATCTCCAGGCTGCTCCCACTGACAGAAGATGAACTTTTTCCCCTACTGCAACTGCTAGCTCCTACCTGATGACCCCCTCTCACTTCAGGTAGAGACCTGGGGTGTGAAGGCTTCAAGCCAGGGAGAGCTGAGGGAGTAAGAGAACTAACTTTAGGAAACATCTACATTATTAAAGGTTTTGAAAGATTTCAAGATTTCTTCCATGATTTTTTTTTTTTTGTTGTTGGTCATTGGGTGTGTACTGTATGTTAGCCCCAACTTTCATCCCTCAAGTACCAGCTTTTCCTGTGAAGTTGATGTCTTCCTCTCCTTTATCCACATTTGTAGAAATGAGTGGGTGACAGCTCGGCATAGCAGAGCAAGCCTAGAGACAGGGTTTTGTGCTCCTTAATGCTGGGTCCAAGGCCAAGTCCCTTCCTGTCTTCTCTGTGGGCAAGACTCGCCGGAACAGTTATCTATTTGAGACTTTTGTCGGGAACACTCTTCAATCTTCCCACAACTTCAGGCCGCTGGGCATGATGTAGGTGGGGGCCACAACACAGTTTGAAAACCACTGTGGAATCAGGGGTCACAAACTTAGTCTAAGGCCTGCCAGAATCAGTGGGCAACAAGTAAAATAGAATTCAAAATTTGGTGGTAGCCACTACTCAGCTTCAGCTGTTTGTGGCCATGGGGAAGGTGAGCTCAGAGTGGTCAGAAGTAGAGCTTTTTCAAGACAAGCTGAAGAATCTAGATTTTTAAGTGATATTTCTGTATAACCTTGCTCAATAATTTACTTGAAACACTGGGTGGGTCAAATCCAGTCCACAGACATCCTACTGGCGTTTCTTTTTTCTTTTTGAGATGAACTCTGAGATCCTTGTAGTGGGGTCCCACGACTCCTTCCTGCCTTCACACATGGGAGTTAGGGTATCTTTGTGTCAGGGTCAAGGAAGACAAATCTA